GTTAGAACATTACAATTCAGATTTTGACCGAGGGTTAACCATCGCGGCGTCGCCAAGGGCGTCGTGTAGCTGGCCGCTGGGTGCCCTCTTGCCTGCCTCCACCGCCTGGCAGGCGACATCAAGGGGGAGCCCAAGGCGGCGCTGGACGGTGACGCGCATCGCCCAGGACTCCATCTTCATATCATCACGCATGGGGATGGCGTTGAGGAAGGCGCCGGCCCCTGGTTGGCTGACGGCGACAAAACGGATCGCCTCTCGCCAGCATTTGTGGTTCTTGCGTCTTCCGACCTTGTTGCCTTTGGAGGGCGCCTTGCGGCCGCCGCTGCGAAGCGCCTCGTCGGTAAGCTCCTTGGCAAGGTCGAGCCAGTTAGCATGGTGCACGCCAGAGGTGTACCGTCGCTGCGCCTGGTGCAAGAACTCGTTGGTGGACGAGAACTGGGCCAGGGGAAGCAGCTCCGCAGCCGGCGTCAGCCCGTGCGGGTAGAAGCGGAACCTCGGCTCCGCCTTCGCCTCGTTGATCGCAGTGCCCGGGCTCACCACCTCCCGGCACACGACCTGCGTCCGCCAGCTCCGCTGGCACTTGTCGGTGAGGTCGTGTCTGCTGACGAGCTGCGTGTGCGCCTCTCGCAGCTCGTCGAAACACTCTCCGGGCGCGGTCGAGACGTCGAGATCGGCGAAGGGCCTGTGTAGCTCGCGGATCGGCCGCGTGACGAGAGCCCACGGATACCTGGCGCCCGTTCTCAGCTTAGCTGGGAAGAGGACCGCCGCAAGCGGCGTGGCGTGGAGCGGTTGAGCATCCCTCCGGGGGGCGGGGGCCCCTCTGCGCCGGGGAGGCGTTGTTGGAGGCTAGGACGCAAGCGTCCGTCGCCCTTTTTCAAACTCGGGGCCCACTCCGCTACGCTCCGACCCGAATTTGGAGGGCCTAAAAGTTTAAGGTGTTGCTGCGCAAAAGGGTGGGGAGCGGCGCCGCAGGCGCGGGCGCGCAGTGGAAGCACGCTAGCCATACATTCACGCAGAGGGTCGTGACGGCTCGAGGGTGCGCACACTAGCGGCCGGACGCCTCACCGGCGGACGCCTCATTCGCACGCGCACCCTCCAACACCGCCGCCGACCCCATCCACATGAGACACACACCACACAGCCCCATCCGCTTCTCGCGGCAGCCAGCCTGGAGCCTCAAGCCGGCGCGCACCGGTGGCAGCGCAGGATGAAGCGGCAGCAGTGGAGGGTTGGGGCGCATTTGAAGGCGCTGGCCCCGACGCGCCATTGACTGGGTCGGGGTGGTTCCTCACCCCTCTGGTTTCTTCAGTTAGGCGGGAAGAGTCTGAGCAAGGGGGCGGATGGGGCTGGCTGCGTCACCTTGGAGCATGAAAGGTTCCTACGGTAAGGCTACTCGGGCACGCTCGCAGCGCCTTGGCTTGGCCCCCGAGCGGGGAGGCGGTCGACGACGCGCAGCATGACGGTGAGCGCAGCCTGACGACGCGTCTTGATGGACGGATCCTTCTGCCGGCTGACCAATGTCCTCCACCCCGCGATCAGCGGCTTCGTCACCAACATGCGCTCAAGAGGCGGAGCAGCCTCGATGCGATCCAGTTCGGCAGCTATCTTGTCGCGCAGCGCGTCGTCAAAAGGCAGCTTGTTGCAGGCGTCGCGCGCCTCCCGGAAGTCACGCAGAAGCTCTCCATATATGTTGCAATAGCCCCCGGCCGGTTGGTTGCTGCAGTGCTCCCGTAAAACGTCAAAAACCAGCTGAAGGCTTGCCCCCGTCCACGGCGCAGATCACGCAGTTCGTGCACGGTATTCGGATTTTGCTATTTGCTCGTGTGGGGGTATATTGCAGATTTGTCAATGGTACCGCGTCTGCGACGCGGGCGCCTTGCGAGCAGAGCCCTTAGGACACCCTTTGTATGTATGTACCCTTTATATCTTGCGCGGTCAAAAACGGTCCGAGTGAAAAGAAAAGGAGCGCCGGCGTCACCCTGACCGAGAAACCCGCGAGCTTCACCCTTCGCTGCTGCGCTCGCTCGTTCGCTCGCTCCTCCTGCCGGCGAGGCTTGCGGCGCAGCTCAATGCTCCTCGTCCTCCTGCCGGCCAGCGCCGCGTTCAACGTGGCCGCGAGGCCCGCGTCGACGCCGTGCGCTCGTGCCGCGGCTCCGCGCCTCACCTCGCCTCTGTCTGCACCCACACACCCTGCGGTGGCCGGCTGGCCGGACAAGTACGCCGGCACGCTGGGTGCCGCGACTGGCCCGCGCGTCCTGCACGACGCGTTTGCCGTCGAGGCGGCCGAGACAACTCTGCTCATGGAGCTCGATGTGGCGAACTGGCCGACATGGACGACGGCGGGGAACGACAGGTGGCTCCCGAACGTGACGCGGAAGGACAAGGAGATGCCGTACGGCGAACTGAGCTACCTGATATCAGGCAAGCTCGAGATCGTGCCAAAGGAGACGGGGCTGCCAGTCGTCGTAAACCCGGGGGACGTCGTCACCTTTCCTGAGGGATTCGTGTCTGACTGGACGGTGCTGGAGGAGCTCACCTGGCACTACTATCTGTATTGAGCGACGCACTCTGTATCACCTCGCGTGTGCCACATAAGCGTTGTTGCAACCCTTGTGTCCCTGTCCCTTGCCGCCCGCAAGGAAGCAGGCGGCCGGCCGCTCTCTGACCTCTGTTGTGTGAAGGAAGCAGGCGGCCGGCCGCTCTGTCCTCTGTGTGTGGCAGAGAGGATGCGACATCTTCAAGAATAATACAACGTATGCGTAGTAACTAGTAGCTAGCGTGTGAGGCTCCACGACCACAGCGCTGCTGATGCATACGACTCAGGACACGACTGAACATGGACTGGCGGCTGGCGCGACTGGCACCGGCCGAGCGCTGAGGCAGGCGAGGCGAGGCTCTCAGCGAGGCTCGCGAGTGCTCGCGGACGTCTCGAGGCTCGCGTCAGCACTCAACCTAGTCTCGAGGCTCGCGAGCACTCAACCTGCCTCGTGCTCAGCTGCTCGTCGCTCACTTAGCGCCCGCAGGCGACCTCACGCCACGGCCGTGCCCAGCGCAGTGCCGGAGCTTCCAAGCGGGTTCGCCAGGGCAACAGTCGCCGCATGCTTCAACCAGCCCTCAAAGTGCGGCGCGCCGTCTGGTAGAGGCGGCATGCGTGGGGCAAAGGCGGACGGCGGAGGCGGAGGCGGAGGCGCAGCAGGCGGCGAGTGATACTCGTACATGGGCGAGAAAGCCTGCGCGCGCACGGATAGATCGGAGGCGTGGGCCTGCACGTTGAGCATGTTGTTCGGCGGCGAGAAGAGTTGATCCGGCCAGAACAAGACTCCCTTGCAGAAGGCGAGCTTCGAACCAGGTTCGTTGTGAAGACTGGCGCTGGGCGCGGCACCCAAGAACCTCACTATGCGGATCGGCAAAGGCGCGACGCGTCGATTGACGATCTATGCTTTTGACCTATCAGTCTCCCAACATGTATGTAGCACACACACGGACATGAAGCGCGCACACGGCCCAATGGCCGTGCACGAGTTGGTTTAGCTCCAAGTTTAGATTTTTAGCAATACCAAACAGTTTTGTTTTGCACGAGCAGCAGCGCAAGCGCCGCCAACCGCACCGACACTTTTGACCGCGTGCCGCACTTCCCGAATCCCTTCACACCCCACTGTCGCGCAATGTGCCGGCTGGTGTGCGGCTTCTGCCACGCCCACTCGAAAGCGAGCGCCTGAGGGACCCCGCGTTGGGGCGCGCAGCTGAGCCGCACGCGCCGTGCCCTCCTCGCGCGCATCGACTCGCATGCGTACGTGCAGCGGCTCGAGGAGGAGCTGTCCGCGCGCGGCGTGGACGTGGCGGCGCTGCAGGCGGACCAGGCCGCGTACAGTGCACAAGGGCTGGTAGTGTGAGGAGGCTGCGGGTGGCAGATGAAAAGGGTTGCCCGGGAAGCTGCGCAAAGCTCGAGCTGCGCTAGGCTCATAGCGAGTTCTCGCGCTGCGCTAGGCTCAGACGGCGTGCGCGGGCGGTGGGCGGCGGCGTTCCGCCCGGTGTGGACTGTGCGGTGCCCCGGGGAGCGGGGTGGAAATGAATAATTAAGCTGCGTAGTTTTTCCCGCGCCATTTTCTTTCTCACCCACCCACTCATTCTTTGATGGTGCATCTACACCACGTGCTTCCCCTTCAGGGAGTTCAACTTCTTGTTGAAGCGCCTCTCGAGCTCGTCTGCCATCGTCGAGTAGAGATGGGTCTCGCCATTGAAGTGGCGGCAGTTTTCCCACACACCGTCCACGTCCGCCTTGACGGCGCCCGCACCGGCGTAGGATCCTTGCTCGAGCTTCATCTTGATGGTGCAAAGGTCAATCGGATCCATGACGGCGTGCGGGCCCTGGTAGTAGGATGGATACAGGTGGCCGTCGACAGGCTCCAGAAAAGGCCACGCCATCCGGTGTTGCATGATTTGGTCGAGGAACTTCTTCACCGACTTGAGCTCGTCGCTCTGCGCCAACTTGACCACGCGGCGCAGCTGCTCCACCGTGGCGTCGCTCACGTCGAGGCGTAGCTCACGCGTGGCCTTGTTGAACGACTCGCTCGCCTCCAGAATCGCGACGGCCCGCGCCCGCGGTGACCCTTGCAGCTGCGCGATATCCTCTCTGAGCGCCTCAATCTCGGGCCGGCGGGCCCGGATGTAATCCGGATCAGCCGGCTGAGCCTGTGCCGCCTCGTCGATTAGCGTTTTCAGCGCATTGTAGGTGGCTTGATCAGGCCTCTTTCTTCCTGAGCCCTCGATGATGAAGTCACTCATTCTTTGCTTTCCTACAGGGAGTGGTAGGGGAGAGAGAGGATGGCGGGGACGGGGGGGGGGGGGGCGGGAAAGTTGCCGAGCCACAACACACGCGAGCTTTCCCATAGGGCAACGTTCCCCCAGTGGGCTCACACCCCTCTCGTGAGCACACCAGCGGACTGCCTGTGTGATGGATGCCCCGGGGCTGGTAGGTTAGCAAGGACACTTATCCACCGGAGAGCACGTACCCTTTTGGTGTGCGACTCCCTTTTGGTGTGCGGACTCCCTTTACCCAGGTGCACCATTTGCGTGTTATTTGGGCGTGTGTGCGCATGGGTCGAGTGCTGGCTGCCTGCCTGCTGCTAACCACCTTAGCCAGAGACTTGCTTCTGGCTGCTGGCTGCTGGCTGTCGGCAACGCTTCTGGCTGCTGGCTGCACACCGAGCGCAACCGCGCGCTCCGCAGCATCTTCGAAAGGCAGGCTGCACATGCATGCAGCACGACTATGAGAGGCGCGCTGCGCGACAATTGTGCCGCCCCCCAACGGAGCGTTGCAGAAACAGTTTTTTTCTTTGTTGACATGTGTGTTCCAGTTGTGTACTTGTTACGTGAAAACCCGCTGGGACCCGGACGCCAGCACACACGGCTAGATTTCATGGCGGGCCGCCTAGGCCCTGGGGTCGGAGTCAGAATCGGTTGGGTGGCCGCGGACGGAGGGCGCGGGCGGGCTTCGCTTGCGGGGCCGGTCAGGGAGGGGTCGGGGCGCTGCAGGGCGGGAGCGCGAGGCGGTGCGGGCCTCCTGGGCCACCCGAGAGGCTTCAGCATCTGGGATTTGGTGCGGGCGCGGCGGGAGGGCGGGCCGGTTGCGGCCGGTAGGAGCTGGGAGGCATTAATCCCCACCCGAATAACACACAGTGAGCGCCCCAGCACTTCACTACGCCCTCCGCGCGAAATCGCCTCCTTGCTTCGCGCGCTCTTTTGCGGCCTCCTCCCTACGTAAAAAAGAAATACAACGCGCTTGCGGAGACTGCGCTTTGATGTGGCGATCAAGCCTGGCGATGGTCGGGAAGGAGTCATGATGTGGAGCCGCTTCCACTGGATGCCTTTTGCCGCCGCCGACGCCGCCATCCTCGGGCACCTGATGGCACGCGGCTCGGTCGATCGCATTGCGGTGCTCAATCTGATGTGTGCTTCCCTTGAACCGGGAGACATGCAACCAATCCTGAATGCGCTCTCCGGCGGTGCTCTGCCTCGGTTGCACTCTCTTCTCCTCAACGGCAACAGCCTCGGCGACCGCTTCTGCATGAGCTTGGCCGCTTCTGCACGAGCGGGCGTGCTGCAGGCTCTGAGGTTCCTCAACATGTGCTTCAATGGCATCACGGGCAAAGGTGTGACTGCTCTGGCGGGCGCGCTTGCTCAGGGTGCGTTGCCACGGCTGTCAACTCTCGACCTCAGGTGCAACCAGGTCGACGACGCTGGTGTCGAGGCCCTCGCTGAGAGTGGCAAGCAGGGCTGCCGGGCGCTGTCAAAGCTGTCTCTCGCCCGCAACAGCATCACACCCGTTGGCATCGATGCCTTGGCCGCGGCACTGGACAAGGGTGCCTTTCCGGCTTTGGAGTGCCTGTCCGTCCCTACCCCTGTCTCGCAGCTCCCTCGCATCAAAGAGGCGTGCGAGAAGCGGCATATCACACTAGCTGATCAACTGGCGTGATGAGCAGTGGCACCGCCACTGGCACTGGCACCGCACTGGCACCGCCACTGGCACCGCCTCCGTGGGCCGTATGAAATAAATAAATAAAAACGGTCAAACTCTGAGACGAGATGGGATTTAGGGACATGTGTCCCCGCCCTGCACGATCTTGGTGTGAGGGATCTTCAATCCGTCCCCTCTTGTGGGCCGTATGGGTTGTGTATCGCGCATGGGGGAACTTTCTCGCCTTGTCGACCGCCCCGGTGCCCGGAGACGCTATTGATTGATTGATGGGAAGGCGACACACAGTCCGACCAACGACTGGGACACCAACGCGGTATGGGTGGACGCTAGACGGGCGATGACGGTCACACAGGAGCGACACACAGAACCACAAGACAAGACACTCGCTACTGTGAGTGAGGATCCTCAGGATGTGAGGTATGTGAGCCCAGGGTTACACAATAATTCTGTCTCCGGCGGTAGGTACACACACGAAGGAAAAATAAAAAGTCTCCCCTGCTCCCGCGTGCGAGGAAGAACCGAGCATCGCAACCCCACATCGGCCAAGCCGGATAAAAAGAAGAAAATCCAGCTACACTCCAAGTGCTCCAAGTGCTCCAAGCTCGGCAATCCTGGCTCGCTCTCCTCGCGGAAATGGCCAGCCCAGAGGAGCCCGCCGTCGCCGTCGAGGAGGTCCAGGACTCTGCAGAGACCGTGATCGCCACCGTCGTTGCAATCGTGGCTGGGGCCTCATCGTCATCGTGATCGCCCTCGGCTTCCGGCGGAAGCGCGAGCCGCGAGGCCGAGCGCGTTGTGGCCCGGGAGAAGGCGGCGGCTGCCAAGCGCAAGGCGCCTCCGCCCGGTGCGGTGGCCCGCGCCGATCTCTCCGCGGTGGAGAAGCTGGCGCGCACCGCCGGTGCCGACCCGCAGGCCTTGTTGATCGGCTCCATCCCGCAGCTCGTCTCGACCTCGCTGTCGTCGCTGAGCCAAGTGTGCAGATAGCGGTAGTGGAAGAGGTTCTTGCAAGCATCGCGCCGTCCGATGGTCTGCTGCCCCGCGCAGCAACCGTCGGGCGACGACCCGGGGGCCAAAAACCCGGCGACGACGGCGCTCTGGATGGGGCGTGACCTCCTGCCTCCAACCTCCTTCCTTTTTGAGCAGGTGTGACGCCGCGCGAGCGACGCTCCGAGATCGCCCGAGATAGCGCGGCGCGGCGGTGGGTGAGGTGGGGTGGGGTGGAGTGGCGTGGCGTGGAGCTCCGGGATTGCGCGAGATAGCGCGAGATCGCCCGAGATCGCGCGGCGCGGCCCGAGATCGCCCGAGATCGCGCGGCCCGAGATCGCGCGGCGCGGCCCGGGGCGGGGTGGATGGGTTGGGAGCGAGGGGGCGGAAGTGTTCAGTGCGGTAGATGGCGAGCTCGAGGCGCGTGAGCCGGACCTGTGAGCCGGACCACCCCCTCTTGTTATCTGCGTTGTTGAGCCAGGACTCAACATACTCGGGCTTGCGAGTCCCAAACTGTCACTCCCCTTTCTCCCGGCCGGGGTGGGGCGCGCGCGGGGGCGGCGGGTGTGCGGCGGGTGTGAGGGATGTCTGTGAGCCCGAGAGCGATGCCCTGTCCGCCTTGCGTTGTTTCATAACACGAAGGCTAAGCTCAAAAAAAACATCGGAGAGGCGCGAGTGCCGCGCACGCTGTCGCTATTCGAGCACCTCAGCGGCACGCACTGGGACGGATGCAACTACGGCGGCTGGTTGGCCACGGGGCACGCATCCCTCAACACTCACGTCACGAACGTCGCACGCGCCTTCGGCGCCTCGGCAAAGGTCATGGAGGTGAGGCTCGGCTGCAGGGACCCGACGCGGGCGCACGATCCGGACACCAACCCGTACCAGCGGGGCGACGGCGTCTTCGGCAACTATGCAGAGTCGGCACGCGCCGTGGTGTACGACGGCACGTGCGTCACCGCGGTGCACCATGACAGGCTGCGCCCGCTGGCGAGCGGCAAGCGCCTAGCCACCGACTACGCCGAGGAGACGAAGCGGAAGGCCAAGGCAGCGGCGTGCGACGCCAAAAACTGCGACTTTATGACGTGGGCGGCGAGCACGCGCGGCGGCATCGGGCACGAGGCGGCGACGTGGTTCAACACCAACTTCGACATCAAGGCCGCTAAGGCGTCCTCCGACAGCGAACGATGGCGGGTCAGTAGCGAGCGCAAGCGCTTCCTGCAAGTGCACTCGACCATCGTCGCGAGGCGCAACGCCGCCATCTTCGACTACAACGCGTGGCCGAAGATGGGCGGCGAGATGCCGCGGGCGCCTCGAGAGCAGTACGAGTAGGGACGGGCGAGGGAGGAGGGGCGCTGACCACGGGCGACTACAAGTCGAAGGTTCGAGGACGACTACTCGCCGCCTGGGTCGTTTGGGGCGCGCGGCTCCGTCGAGGACCGGGCGCGCCCCTTTCCCGGCGCGGCGTAGGTCCCACTCTGACGTATAGAGGGGAGGCACGGACAACGGCCCAATTCATCAATTCCACTCATCTTCTGGTGCCTAGCCCCGTGCAGCGGCGGTCCGGCAGGCTGCCCCCAAGGCCCCCTGGGCCGCTGCGGGTTTTGGAGTTATGCTTTGGCACAGCTTCGGCGATGGCGGCCCCTCTCTGGGGCTTGCATAGGCGGGGAGTCTCCCTCGCTGGTCTCCTCATTCCCTTTTTTCTTTTTCTTTTGAGAGCAGGACGCCGGGTTTGTCTTGTATGTGCGTGTCGGGCCGGGGTGTGAGCGAGGGGCAGAAGGGGCGGGGGCGTGCGGGGCAGAGGCTGTATGTGCATGTCGGGCCTGGACTATTGCGAGATCGATGAAGACGAGGAGGAGGTCTTCGCGTATCAGGTCTGTCCTGAGTGCGGCCAGTGCCTAGACTCGCCATCGATAGTGATGAGTGCGTCGTCGCCATCGCCGCCACCTCCTTCGCCATCGCCGCCACCTCCACCATCTCCGCCGCCACCTCCACCATCTCCGCCGCCACCTCCACCATCTCCGCCGCCACCTCCACCATCTCCGCCGCCACCGTTGCCGCGACCGCCTCCGCCGCCTGAAGGGTGGGAGCCGATCGACCCGGCTCCCGAGAAGCTACGTCGCACGCACCACACCTACGGCTTCGCGCTGAACGGCCTCGGGCACCTGCTTACGGGCTCAAAGTACCAAAGCGGTTATGTGTACGGCGCGCAGCCTACCGACGCCTTCTTCCGTTACGATCCGTCCTCCGAGGTGTGGAGTGAGCTCGATCCGTTCCCGGGCGGGGCGCGAAGCTACGCCATCGGCGACGTGCATTTGGGGCAAAACATGGTCTACTTTGGATTCGGGCGCGACTCCGTTGGGAGGGCGCTGGGCGACCTGTGGCGCTATGACGGCGAGGGATGGGCGCAGCTCGCCTCGTGCCCGGATGGCTGCCAGCGGCTTCATCCCGCCTTTGTGGCTCTGGACACGAAGCTGTTTGTCGCGGCCGGGAGCGGCATTTACGGAAACATCAAAACCGCATGGTCGTATGATATTGAGCGCGACGAGTGGGAGCCGCTCCCGGATCTGCCTGGGGATGCGAGGCACCACCCGTACCAGTTTGTCGCCGGCGGTCAGCCGTACGTCTACGGTGGCCACGGGCGCGCGATTTACACGGACTTGTACCGTTGGGACTTTGACACGGCGACTGGCGAGTTCTTACAGTCGGTCACGAAGCGCGCTCCCGCCCCTGGCGAAGGGAGAGTCGCGGGGACGCAGTTTAGCGTCGGAAAGTATGGGTACGTACTGAGCGGGGACGGGAACGACCACGGCTCGATGGTGACGGGCGAGTTTTGGCGGTACGATCCTGACGCGGACGAGTGGAAGGCGCTGCCCCCGCACCCAGGCGCTTCGCGATGGGCGCCCGCCTCGTTCGTGCTCAACGGCCACGTCTACTTTTACAACGGGCTGGACCGGCTGCCGGGCCGGATGTCCTTTTACCCGAGCGACTCCTTCCGGATCCGCCTCCCCGCCTGAGGGGAGGGCAAGGTTGTGCTCAAGTGCGAGAGTGACTGACACAGACTGAGAAAGTACTCTGCGCCGAAGACTGCAGTCACTATTATATGCTGATTGATGGAGTGTTTGTGTTGTTTCTTTAGTGCGTTGTGTGTCATGCAAAACTTTGTTCTCTTCTCATGAAATCGGAGGGTCGGCCCACAGCTTCGTGAACTGAAGCGACCCAACGGTTTCAAGAGTGGCAGCAAAGGGAGTCAAATTTTTGGTGGAACTGACTTGAAAAAGAAAAAAAAGCCTAAGCTCAAAAAGAAACGTGCGCACCAGCTGATGCGCCCCCACCGACCTTGCAAGCCGCCCTGCCCAGCTCGATGTCTCGCCTCCGCACGCAGAGCGACGCGACTGCTGGCGCTTCGACCGTCGCCGTCGACTCGACCCGCAGCCGGATGCTGAGCGCCGCGACTGCTCCTCCTTCGACCGTCGCCGTCGACTCGACCCGCGGCCGCAGCCGGATGCTGAGCGCCTCCACCTCAAAGCTCGGCCTGCTGTCGCTTGGGCGAAGCCGCACGCTAAGCGCGCCAGTCCTGCCCTCAGAGGTGGATGAAGATGCTGAGGCCGAGAAAGCACGGCTCGCGTTTCAAGCGCCAGGCGGCAGCAGCGCATCCTCCAGCACCGTCTCCTCCTGCAGCACTTTGTCTGAGTCTGGTCGGCCGCGGAGCATCAGCCAGCGAGCAGCGCACAAGGTGTCCAAGCGAGCCCACCAGGCGGCCACCAAGCTGCAGGCCACGTGGCGGAAGGCCTCCACAGCGGTATGGCTGGCGCTGCTCGACAAGGCGTCCGGCTCAGAGAGGGCGATGGCACGCGTGAGCAAGATGCTGCTTGGGATGGGCGACGCCGGCGGCCAGGCGCTGGGCAAGCTGATCCTCTTCCTCGCCGCTCCCGGCAACTCCGCGCTCTCAAGGACGCGGAAGCGAGCGCTCGTCAAGCTGCTCCGGTCCGCCGTCAAGCTGGTCAACGTCGCCCTCAAGACGGTCCTGCCACGGTACCTCAAGCCCTCCCGCCGGAAGGTTCAGAAGCTGCTCGCGGAGCTGCACAACTCGGGCGAGGGGCAGCCGCTCGGCGAAGAGGACTCGGAGGGGATCGCAAAGAACCTGCTGCTCGAGGTCCTCCGGGCGGACTCGGCGGGGCGCCTGTGGCGGCGTGTCGTCAGCCCGGAGGACGGCAGCGCGGCGTATGAGCTGGTGCCCTTCGGGCCCCGCTGCTGGAGGCATTGGGCCTAGATGCTGAACATGCGATGCGATGCGCCAAGCAGACTGCAAGGATGCCGTACTCACGCCCTCAAGCTCCCTGCTCTCGTGCACGCTAGGCAGCCAGCCTGCCCCTTCGACTCCGAGCCAGTGCAGGCGAGGGGGCTGGTCAAGCGGTGCACGTGCCGCGTCGACACCAAGCTCATCAAAGCGGAGAAGGGCGTCTCGAAGGCGGAGGCACGGAGGAGGCAGGTGTGAGAATGAACATACGGCGGGGTCGCACACGTGGCAATCCCAGCCGACTCCTTCGAGCCTGACAGGTGTCCAACGCCGAGGTTGACCTCGTGACCGAGCTGGCGGACCGGCACATCTCGGCGCGAAACACGCACACACACACACACACTGCGTTGTGCCGTGGAGCTCCTTGTGTGCGCGGAGACGTCTACCCTCACCTCACCTCACCTCACCTCATCAGGAGCGGTGCTGGGGGCCGCTCGCGAGCGCGCTCAAGCAGCACCTGCCTCGGCGGCTCAAGAGCATGCTCGACTTCGACTACCCGCCCGACTTCATGCCGCGCGCGATGAGGGACGACCCGAGCCACGTCCTCGCGCTCGACATCGACGTCGGTGAATCTCGGCGAATCTCGGCGAATCTCGGCGAATCTCGGCCAATGGCCCTCGCACCCGCCTCACCCCTCCCCGCCCCCCCCTCGCTCTGCTCCGGCGCAGACGTGGCGGTGCGCTTCGACTCCAAGGCCGCTCCTCAATCTCCGGCCACCGCAGCCGTCCAGGACACGTCCATCACACGCCTTCCGGACGTGTCCCAACAGGAGCCGCTCTTCGACTTCGGCGCGCAGCCCGGCCTCAGCGACTTCACGTCGGTGGCGGCGGTCGACAACGACGCGCCCACCTCCTCCTCCTGGCTTGCGCGGCGCGTCGGAGAGGTGCCCCGAGATCAGCCGAGATCAGCCGCCGTCTAGGCGCGGCTCGTCCTGTTTGTTCGAGGGCGCGACGGCAGCGGTGTGCCCTCCCTCGGCACGTTCGAGCTCAAGAACCTCAAGCTCGAGGCGAGAGGTAGCCGAGATACCGCCGAGATGGCGGCACGCTCGAGCCCTGAACCTCGAGGCGCTACCCCCGTGTGTGTGTGTGTGTGTGGGGGGGGGGGGGGGGGGGGGGGGGGGGGGG